CGCGCAGCCATGGCCCGGCCGGTGCGCTCGCGCCGGGGGCCCAGCACCACCATGCTCTTCCGCATCACCATCCAGAGGCCCCGCCACATGCTCAGGAGGCCCATGAGGGCACGCTCCCGCCTCCGGGCCAGAAGGGGAAGGCGCTTTGGCAAGAGTGTCCGCTTCAGGTCCAGGCGTGCGCTGCCACCCTTCTTCCTCTTCATGGAGAGGCACCGCCGGCGGCTCCAGAGGACCTACCCAAACCTGACCATGGTGCAGACGGCAAAGAGGCTGGGCAGGATGTGGCAGAGGCTGCCCGAAGAAGACAAGGAAATGTACAAGGAAGAGGCTGAGCGCATGAAGGGCATGAGGGTCCGCCGCAGGCTCAGGAGCTGGAGCAGGCCAATGATGTCCAGCCGGAGGAGGGCCATGAAGAACCTCATGATCTCCTTCACCACCAAGGCAGCGAACCTGCGTAATTTCCTCTTGTCCTACCTGTGACTGCAGTTCCTGCCCATGATTGCATTTCCTGCCCATGATTGCAGTTCCTTCCCATGATTGCAGTTCCTTCCCATGATTGCAGTTCCTTCCCATGACAGCAGATCCTACCTGAAATCGCAGTTCCTTGGGAAGCCCCAATAAAGTTCCAAGTTGTTATTGCAGCAAACCCTGGCCCACTCTGGTGTCTTTGGGCCGAGCAGGAATTGGGGTTTAATGGAGCTGGCGCCGTTGTGGGTGGCAGGGAGGCTGCTGTGGGATGGGGATAAATGTTCCTGCACATCCACAAGGAAAACAGTGATGACTTCTCCAAACCAGGAGTTAAATTAGGCTCCTTCTGCAGAGGAGGGATTTTGGTCCTCCTGGAGCTGGGGAGGAGGCACAGTGAATGCAGATGGGGAGACAGGAGGGTGCAAGGAACACAGAAACATGGCTTTTCCCAGGAAAACGCCTTGGGAAGGTGCACAAACTCAAAGCCTAAACCTACACAGCTCCCTGACCCTGCTGGAGGAGCCTCAGAGAGGTTTCTCCTCTTGACCACAACCCTTGTCCCAATTCCTTTAGGGATGGTCACAGTTCCCACCCAAGGACACATCCCAGAGCCCCAGGTCAATGCCATGTTTTTCCCTAAGCTCCAAAAGTCTCCAGCAAACAACTCCTGTCCCTCATTCCACACAACTCCTGAGGAGTTCCTGTCCCTCATTCCACACAACTCCCGAGGAGCTCCTGTCCCTCATTCCACACAACTCCCGAGGAGCTCCTGACCCTCATTCCACACACAGGATTTTGTCAGGTCTTTGCACGCCTGTAACACCAGGACACAAAGCCCATGGCCAGCAGCTCTCCCTGCTGGGAAACCTAAAATCTCAGGATACGTCCCAAGTATACGGGTACAAAGGCTGGTGATATTAAGGGGAAACTGCAAAGCTGCCATGAGCTGGTAGCAGAATGTTTAAGTGAGCAGGGACAAGAAATCTCACTTTAATGGTTCTCCTGCCTGCATGGCCACTGAGAGCCTGACAGGATCCATCAATTAAAATCTATTCCCAGCTGCAGCAGCCGTGGCTCCAGCAGAAGGAGCAGCTATTTTTGGCACGTTACAAATACGAAGTGGTCAGAAAGGCCCCAGATATCACCCAGCCAATTACGCTTTCCACGGAATCTTTGCGTTCCCCCATCCCTCAGCCTGCAAGCTCCGTAAGCAAGTGGCACTCAGGCAAAATCAGGCCTGGGGAAGTTGGAACATGGGTTCCACTCAATTGAACCCATCACACAGATCCTGAGGAATGGCTCCAAGTTCCTGCAGCTCTGCCTGCAAACATCCGCTTTTTACAAGCACGTCCCAATGAACTCCCAGTCTGGCCATTCCCACCAGTCCCTTCAAACTGAAACGCCACCTGAGAGGCTGAGGGACAACTCTGCCAGCCCCAAACACACAGTAAAATTCCAGTTATCTGCGGCAGGAAATCTTCTAGTGACAGGAAAACAGGAAGGGATGGGAAACACTGCACTGGAAATTGGTCATTACCCACCTGGATGTGTTTGCCACTAATGGTGTGAAGACTAGAGATGGAAATAACTGTGAGAACAGACCATTAACAAGGAGAAATAACAGTTTGGGGGAAGCCTTCCAGCAGCAGAGAGGAGACAATGATCCTGGAAGAGCTGCAGGCAACTGATGGAGGAGGGGGGTAAGTGATAAATATGGATATTATGGGGGGAATGTATCTTGGGGGCCTGGGGTGGGTTCCTTCCTCTGCTTTCCCCACTGTAGTTAAAACCTGCAATAAACCAACTGCAGAAAATGGTTTCTCTCAGAATTGGCACAATTTTGGCTTGTTGGGAGCCTCAGCACCTTTTTCATGTGCTCAGAAATAACGTTAATGGCATTGTTACAGACTCGGGAATGTCATTTTTACCATAATACTGCCTGTGTTGTCACTGCTCAGGGAAAAATGATTTAGAAACAACTTGGAAATTGCCTGGACAGCCTTCCCTTTGGGCCAGCTGCATGGATTCACCTGAGAGCTGTCCAGGACAGGATTTCTCGTCCCTGTCCTTGGGATTCGCTGTCCCTCCCCTCTCCATGTGGGGGCTTCAAAGGGGATGAGTTTCAGAGCAGAAGGGAAAAGCCAGGAGTGGCAGATATTTATCCAAGGCCCTCCAAAATCCGCCTCCCTGTGCCTGACCAGGGGCACAAACACACATCTGCCACCACCAGTGTCGAATCACAGGCACGTGACACACATTTGGGACTTCAAAGTTTGGGTACACAACCCAGAATTTCCTGTACTCCCCCACACAAAACTAAAAAATCCAATTATTGAGCACAAAGCCACCGAGACATGACTGCTGCACTTGTGGTCCCATTGAGAGCACGAGAGCTGTGCCTCTGCAGAGATCCCCTCTTGTTCTGAGGGAACAATGGCACTTCAGCCCCTCTCTCTCAGCCAGCTCCATTCTCCTCATCCCAGCAATTTTCATTTCTGTGTGCACGAGATGCTCTTGTGTGGCAGCAATAGCAGGGGAAGCACTGGAGCACTCATGAACAGCAGATTTATTTCGTGTATTTCTCTGCAGTGATGCTCCCACACGTGGCCTTGTCTGTGTTCATGGATACACCTGAGTATTCCACCAAAACAAACCACCAAAACCAAGCCCTGCAACTCTTTCTCGAGGCTGCAGTGAGGATTTGAGCCTTTGAAGGGGCTGCTTTGGGGTTGAGGCTGTGTCAGTGTCCCCAGAGGGTGATGAGAGTCACCCCAGTGAATCCCAACAGCAAGAAGGGATTGGAGGGGGACCCTCTTCTCTCTTCTCACTCATGCCACCCAAAAAGGTTTTGGGGACCAATCCACAGCAGCCAAACCTGGAAGAAGCCTGCCCTAAACCCCTACTTAGGAACAGATTAATTCTGGATGACTGGGAGCCTTTGCAGGCTCCTTGTCACGCGTTAACTGAGATGTTACAACTTCAACACCCTTGGAAAAATCAGAGCCTGGAAGAGTTCTCTGCTCATTAACTGCCTGCCAAAGCATCCTCCCCACTCTCAAGAATCAATAACCTGCTTTTGTTCACAGCTTGATTTTAATGGGACCAAAAAGCCACGGCGGCACAAGACGCTGAGAGCCACCAGGATGGAAGAACAGCTCGGCTCTTTGAAGCGCAATGTGCAGGCAGGACGGCAGAGACTGAGCATCTCTGAGCTCATCCCCACCTGCACACCTCGGGGAGAGGCAGCACTCACTGCCCCCCTTGTTAGCTTTGATTTCCATCAGAAATCACCGGAGGAACAAACTCCTTCCCCACACCCAGCACAGCCCAGCCCACGCCAGGGATGCTCCCAATGCAATTTTCCAGGCTCTCCCACTCCCACAGCAGCTGGGATGATGTCCCCTGGCACCCTGCACTGCAGCCCCTGGGGACAGGGAATCCCCAGTCCCAGTTTGAGGGGAGATAATGGAACGGATCTTCCAAAGTGTGCCACCCCCACTGAACCCCAAACTCATCTGTTGCTTTTAATTTACCAAAAACAAACAAACAAACACAAAACAAACAAACAAACCCCAAAAAACCAACCAAAAAACAAAAAACAAAAACAAAAAAAAAAAAAGGAAAAAGAGAAAAGCAGTGGCTGAGTTATCAGAAGTGCAGTTGGAGCAGCAGCTTGACAGACCCAGTTTTGGCTTGCCCGGAATTCATCATTTACATTGATAAAATACAGGATTGCTTGCGAACTTCCCCATTCCACTTAAAGCTACAATATTCCAGTTCCATCAGGCAGGGATGGGAGCTGCAGCTCTCATGGGGAGGGTGTCAAATACCCCAGAATCTGTAAAATACCCCAGATTAAGAATATCCACATTATGGTTGGGGTTGAAATTAAATGATGTTTAAAACCCCTTCCAACCCAAACCATTCTAGGGTTAAAAAAATCTTCATTTCCATGTGAAGAACAAAACTGTCATCAGATAACCCCAAAAAGGAGAGCCCAACCACCAGGTAAAATGGGATTATTTATGTTTAAGAAATTGGTTGATTTGACAAAGTTCATTTTCTATCCCTTCCCCATCAGCTGCACAGTCCCAGTGGCTGCTGGTGATGTTGGATGTGACTGAGATGGGGATGGCAAAGCTGTCATCTTAAAACTGGTGATGAATTTCTTTGGATGATCCACGTTATTGGCTACACCAGAGGGTGAAGATGTGATTCCTCTTCTGGGCACTATGGAATCATGGAATGTTCTGGAAGGGACCATCAAAGTCCAACTCCTGATCCTGCACAGACACCCCAGTGTTTCCATTCCATTCCAGAAAGGAATGAGGGATTTGTCCATACAAACTGTGGGTCTGCTGCTAAATAAAGTTAGATACAGAGAGATGAAAAAAACAATGGAAAGAACCATAAATTCCATAGGAATTCCACTGACTGACACAAGGAAAAGAAAGAAAAGGGGGTACACATTAGAAGGGGGTCTGTATTAGTCAGTTTGGGAAGTCTGTGCCTCTCAAGTACCTCAGCCAATGTGGAAAGAGAGAAGGAAATGCAGCTGGGAATTGGGATAAAAGGGAGGCTGTGTCCTGTAACAATTTGAGAGACCCCATGGGAAATGCCCCATGGCCTCTCTCTTTATTCCAATGAAGTTACAGAACTCCTCTGGCTCCTTTTTGGACACAAACCTCTGGTGTTTGTGGATTAATTTTCCTGACACCAACAACCCCACCCTGTGGCTGGGGGTGTGTGAGGAGGAGAACACACTCCCTACTCAGTCCCTGCAAGGTTTTTATGGCCAGAGCTGACCCCAGTCCTCGAGGAATCGCTGCAGAATTCCCTGCCTGCCTTAATCCCAGAGCTGAGTGAGAGGCAGCCCTGCCTCCCAGACACACCAAACTCATTGATCCTTCTTCACCAGGTAACCAAAGCTCTGGCAGGGCTGAGCATCACAACCTGAGCTGAGCAGGGTCCAGGGCTGCTCCATCCCTTGGTGCTCCGTGGCTTTCCCGGCAGGATGAAGAGCTCTCAACACCCGAGTGCACAGATCTGAGCTGCCAAAGCAGCAGAACAAAAAGTGCACAAGGGCAAAATGTCCTTTTTAAGGCACTCTGTGGGTGACCTTAACACAACATGAACTCTTTCCAACTGCAGAAACTCTTGAGCGCTGCCAGTGGGTTC